GTCAGATTTCTCCTCAGTGATCCACAGTGATCTGTGTCAGATTTCTCCTCAGTGATCCACAGTGATCTGTGTCAGATTTCTGCTCAGTGATCCACAGTGATCTGTGTCAGATTTCTCCTCAGTGATCCACAGTGATCTGTGTCAGATTTCTCCTCAGTGATCCACAGTGATCTGTGTCAGATTTCTCCTCAGTGATCCACAGTGATCTGTGTCAGATTTCTCCTCAGTGATCCACAGTGATCTGTGTCAGATTTCTCCTCAGTGATCCACAGTGATCTGTGTCAGATTTCTCCTCAGTGATCCACAGTGATCTGTGTCAGATTTCTGCTCAGTGATCTGTGTCAGATTTCTGCTCAGTGATCTGTGTCAGATTTCTGCTCAGTGATCAATTTGGTCCTTGATATTTCTCTGATATAGGACATCAGCTCAGCAGCAGCAGTAACTATTATATATCATCAGGCATCTAGACCAGTTTGAGATCACTTCATGTTCAATGTAAACATTTTATTAGTAACATTACTATTCATACTTAACTGAGCAAACATAAATACAGATTTGATTATCAAAACTCAACACAACACATAAATATGTTCATGGCTGCTGAGGACAGTGAATGAGGGACAGTGTCGCAGAGGCAGAGCACTATAAATATAGTCAGACACCATAGCAACACCAGTTCATAGAATTAGACATCAGTATGGTGACAAGTTCCTGGAATCAGAGGAGCCTTAGCTTGCAATAATTGTGAATAAATAGTTGGCAAGTTCCTGGAATATTGTGGAAACTGGTACTTGGAATGAGACAGATAGAAATCACTAGATCAAACGGAATATTTACAGAGTATATAAGGAAGACCTATGTCAGTGAATACTTGACCCGTTCCTGGAATTGTACAGAGCCAAAAAAGTCCTTGGAAATTTTCTGGAGTATAACAGGATGACTTACTTGAATGAATACTTGACCTGTTCCTGGATTCCTTGGAATCAAATGGAAGTATCTGTACACTTAATGGTAGACTTTTTACACAATATACTTGGAAATCCTGTTTTGATTTAAAAGTTGTAATTTGGGGGATGTCAGTTGAAGTTTGACTTCTATTTAAATATTGCATTTGACAGTAACACTTTCATTACATCAACTGCTGTCTCCTCTCAAGTTATATGATTTAGAAGCTTATTACTAGAACAAAATAGTCCTTATGTGATTTAGAGACATATCACAAGAACAGAGTAGACCTTATGTGATTTAGAGACATATCACAAGAACAGAGTAGACCTTATGTGATTTAGAGACATACCACAAGAACAGAATAGACCTTATGTGATTTAGAGACATATCACAAGAACAGCATAGACCTTGTGTGATTTAGAGACATACCACAAGAACAGAGTAGACCTTATGTGATTTAGAAGCATATCGCAAGAACAGAGTAGACCTTATGTGATTTAGAGACATATCACAAGAACATGTGAGTAGACCTTATGTGATTTAGAGACATATCACATACCTTATGTGATTTAGAAGCATATCGCAAGAACAGAGTAGACCTTATGTGATTTAGAGACATATCACAAGAACAGAGTAGACCTTATGTGATTTAGAGACATATCACAAGAACAGAGTAGACCTTATGTGATTTAGAGACATACCACAAGAACAGAGTAGACCTTATGTGATTTAGAGACATACCACAAGAACAGAGTAGACCTTATGTGATTTAGAAGCATATCGCAAGAACAGAGTAGACCTTATGTGATTTAGAGACATATCACAAGAACAGAGTAGACCTTATGTGATTTAGAGACATACCACAAGAACAGAGTAGACCTTATATGATTTAGAAGCATATCGCAAGAACAGAGTAGACCTTATGTGATTTAGAGACATACCACAAGAACAGAGTAGACCTTATGTGATTTAGAGACATATCACAAGAACAGAGTAGACCTTATGTGATTTAGAGACATATCACAAGAACAGAGTAGACCTTATGTGATTTAGAGACATATCACAAGAACAGCATAGACCTTATGTGATTTAGAGACATATCACAAGAACAGCATAGACCTTATGTGATTTAGAGACATACCACAAGAACAGAGTAGACCTTATGTGATTTAGAGACTTGTCACCAGAACAGCATAGACCTCATGTGATTTAGAGACATACCACAAGAACAGAATAGACCTTATGTGATTTAGAGACATATGGCAAGAACAGCATAGACCTTATGTATTTTAGAGACTGAATACAAGAACAGCATAGACCTTATGTGATTTAGAGACATACCACAAGAACAGAATAGACCTTATGTGATTTAGATACTTGTCACCAGAACAGAATAGACCTCATGTGATTTAGAGACATACCACAAGAACAGAATAGACCTTATGTGATTTAGAGACATATGGCAAGAACAGCATAGACCTTATGTATTTTAGAGACTGAATACAAGAACAGCATAGACCTTATGTGATTTAGAGACATACCACAAGAACAGAATAGACCTTATGTGATTTAGATACTTGTCACCAGAACAGAATAGACCTCATGTGATTTAGAGACATACCACAAGAACAGAATAGACCTTATGTGATTTAGAGACATATGGCAAGAACAGCATAGACCTTATGTATTTTAGAGACTGAATACAAGAACAGCATAGACCTTATGTGATTTAGAGACATACCACAAGAACAGAATAGACCTTATGTGATTTAGATACTTGTCACCAGAACAGAATAGACCTCATGTGATTTAGAGACATATCACAAGAACAGAGTAGACCTTATGTGATTTAGAGACATATCACAAGAACAGAGTAGACCTTATGTGATTTAGAGACATACCACAAGAACAGAGTAGACCTTATGTGATTTAGAGACATACCACAAGAACAGAATAGACCTTATGTGATTTAGAGACACATGGCAAGAACAGCATAGACCTTGTGTGATTTAGAGACACATGGCAAGAACAGCATAGACATTATGTGATTTAGAGACACATGGCAAGAACAGCCTAGACCTGATGTAATTTAGAGACTTGTCACCAGAAGATATTAGTCCTTATGTGATTTGGAATTCTTTTATTTGTAGAGCTTATCATTACATGATTAACTGTTCAAATACCTAGTAGAATAACGATGGAGAGTCAACACCAAGGGTTCTGTAGTTGTTTAGATTTAGGTATGTTGACATGTTTCAGATGGCTAGGCCTTCCGTCATCAGAATAATTTTACATTGAACAAAGTTAAGCCTAAGTACAAATTAATGTTCAGGGTACTGATTGGTTTAATCACATGATGTACAATTGTTTGGAAGTTTCGCAAGACATTGATAAATCAAGTGGAGGAAAAAGTTATTTCATGTAGAAATGAAATGTTAAAAATGAAATAGAACTGTGTTAATTATTGTTTTGCAGAGTCAAATAACTGTTATTGCAACAAACAGAAAACCATTGTTTTAAATTACTGTTGATGCACTGAAGATGATTCTAAGATTGACTCTGAGATATTGTTGCAAACAAATTATTACAGGGATTTACAGATTCATATATCTGTTGCTGTGTCAAACCAGCTTGACAGAAAAAAAATACTTAAGAAAGATTATACCAGTATTCTAGCGTGACAGTTGTAACAACTTTGACCTGTCCAAGTGGCCCAGTTTTGTCAATAGGAACATCTCTGTATTGATTAAAACACCATTTTATTGATAATGAGGATATCCCTGTAGTAACAATTTGAAACATTTCTATATTGATGACAGTGTATTGACAGTTGAAAAGTCACAGTAAACACATTGGAACAACCTAATGTTGACCATAAAAGAGACAGAAAAAAAACAATCATATTAAAAATTGAAACATTTTGATATTGACAATATTACTGTATTACTAATTTGAACATACCGATATTGACAATGGGAACATCTCTGTACTGACAATATTAATGTCCTAGTATTGACATATAGATCATCACACTTTCAATGTATTGACATTGGGAACATCCCTTTATTGACAGTTGAAATATCTCTGTATTGACATTGGGAACATCCCTTTATTGACAGTTGGAAGAGCCCTGTATTGACATTGGGAACATCACTGTATGGACAGTTGGAAGAACCCTGTATTGACATTGGGAACATTCCTTTATTGACAGTTGGAAGAGCCCTGTATTGACATTTGGAACATCACTGTATGGACAGTTGGAAGAACCCTGTATTGACATTGGGAACATCCCTTTATTGACAGTTGGAAGAGCCTTGTATTGACATTGGGAACATCCCTTTATTGACAGTTGAAATATCTCTGTATTGACATTGGGAACATCCCTTTATTGACAGTTGGAATATCTCTGTATTGACATTGGGAACATCACTGTACTGACAATATTAATGTCCTAGTATTGACATATAGATCATCACACTTTCAATGTATTGACATTGGGAACATCCCTTTATTGACAGTTGAAATATCTCTGTATTGACATTGGGAACATCCCTTTATTGACAGTTGGAAGAGCCCTGTATTGACATTGGGAACATCACTGTATGGACAGTTGGAAGAACCCTGTATTGACATTGGGAGCATTCCTTTATTGACAGTGGGAAGAGCCCTATATTGACATTGGGAACATCACTGTATGGACAGTTGGAAGAGCCCTGTATTGACATTGGGAACATCCCTTTATTGACAGTTGGAAGAACCCTGTATTGACATTGGGAACATCCCTTTATTGACAGTTGAAATATCTCTGTATTGACATTGGGAACATCCCTTTATTGACAGTTGGAATATCTCTGTATTGACATTGGGAACATCACTGTACTGACAGTTGCAACATCCCCATATTGTCATTTGGAAGAACCCAATATGAACAGTTGGATTACCCTTGTATTGGCAGTTAGGAGAGCCCTGTATTGACATTGACAGTTGGAACATCCCTGTAGTAGCTTTGTGATCTTGATGGTTAATAATCCGCTTATCTTTTACATTGCTAGGAAACAAGAGAGACGTTTTTTGGTGATTGACAGTGTCCAGATGATACTGGTAGAACCGGACACCAAGCGACTGGGTTGGGGCGTGGTCAGATTTGTGGGATTTCTTCAGGTAAGTTAGTTCAATTTTCTTCAGAATTACTTCTAGAATTTCTCATCCTGTTCATTATTCAAAGAAATTATTGATAAATGTTCCTTATGTATATCAATTATTGCAGTGGAAGCCACTTAATATCATGTTTAATGTGTGACAGGAAAATAAGATAAAATAAGTGGGACATGACATTAACAGTTGGCACCTTTTTTTTGGATGTCTAAACCCTCATGCACCAAACTAACTTGTTTCTAACAGAAATTGTTAGATGGTAATTATTTGTAGTTTAATTCGGTTTTCCCAGAAGAACTAATTTTCCATAGCATTTGTTTGTTTATTCTTTCAAATATCAAAGCTACTATCATAACTTATTGTGAACGATCATGTCATATTCATGGTTTACACACATCAATGATTATTTCACCATTACTATCATTTGTATTCCAATAAGCCCTGTGGTGATTGTGATGCCACAGCTCCCTTTAGTCATTGGTCTGTTTACACATATATTTATCTACTCAACAAAAACAGACGTAAATTTATATTAATTAATAGCCTATGATATTTTGGGAAATTTGTACAAAAAAATTATATCAATGTAGAAGAAAAGTCTGTGTGACATCACTTGTGTCATCAGTAGTTAGTCAGAGTGGGAAAACCATGAAAAACCAAATGACACTTCAGTAGCTGGTGTGGGCATCTATTGCACAAACCCCTGCACGGATTCTCCTATGCATTGAATTCATGAGAATTAATTCACCTTAAGTGAATGTTTTTCCATTCTTATGTTAATGCTGAGATTAACTGGACTTGATTTGTTAGGGGTTTTGACGTTTCCTAATACTCTAGCCCAGCTCTTCCCACAGATGCTCAATGGGAGAAATGTGGGGGCTATATGGATGACATTCCAGAGGCAGAACGTTGTTTGCCGTGAGAAAATCATGACAGACTTGGGCAACATGCAGTCGAGCATCGTCTTGCTGCAAAATTAGGTTATGATGTCTGAGAAGTGGAAGGACATGTGGTTTAAAAATCTGGTCTCTGTATCGAATGGCATTGAGGTTTGGATCCAGGACCACTAAGGGGGATTTTACTCCATAGAAGATGTCTCCCCAAACTATTACAGAAGCTCCACCAAATCTATGGTGTTCAACCACACATGCCTTGATGAAACACTCAACGTGTCTGCTATATACCTTTTTTCTTCCGTCTGAGCGTTACAAACAGCAGTGAACCCCACTTCTCCACAAACACATCCCCAACCTATTTTGGCCATGTCTGCGCATCCGGTAAAGACGCACTTGCCACCTCTGTGATGTCAGAGGTGGCCCGACATGAGGTCAACGTGCAATGATTCTCTCGGCAAGCAAGCAGTTCCTGACAGTTTGAGCACTAATTGGTCTGCCATGAGTACGTAATGTATGCGAAGCAGTCTCTACAGCAGTCTTGAATCTGTTGTACAAATGCAACAATCGAATCGCCATGTCTTGTCATACAGTCTTTACAGGCAGACAAACGCCGTACGACAGCACTTTGGCTTTGACCATCCATCAACATCCCAGTGGCTCTACCCCTCTGAACTTGCGTTGAGCATGGCATCTCGGTCAGTCCATCTTGGCTTGATCATGCTGCATGATTTGGACTAAAGAAGCTCACAAATTCAGACAATGACATTGTCACGCTTGGCTGATTTAAGGGTATATTGTCGCAAAGGGAGATCATTCTTGATGTAATACCTGACCGAGGTTCCATTATTTCCTTACAGCAAATGTGTACTGCAGGGGAGAACTATGTGAATTTCTTTGTTTTTTTTTTGTTAAGTATAGTAATGTCTTTCCATAAACATGAATCCAACACCTACATCTAAAAATGGCCAAGGCATGTTTTGTAAGCAAAGTATATGTTTTTAATGAAAGATAAAAAATCTTATTTTGAAATTAAAAATCAATAGGAATGTCAATTTTGCACTGTGATTCGATTACATAAATCATATATAATGCATGTTTGTTAATTTATGGAGTTATATCAGCTTGTTTAGTAGGTCACACAATACTATTGCATGGAAGTGTTATCTGTTTTCCAGGGATTTCTTCTTAAGTACACTTCCTTAAATTCATAGTTCTTAAAATATAGATAATATATATGAGGATTTATTCAAGTTACTCAAACAGTTTTGAAAATGATTCATTTATAAACATGTAAGAAATTTATGTAATATGCAACAATGATAACAGTTTTCTAGTATTAAATATGGGTTAATGTATTACTGACTTGAAGGAACTGATGAGAGTTGATGTAAGTTTACTTTGTGACTCTGGTTGGTGTTAGTGTACTTGAGGAACACAGGAAACTGATGATGGTTGGTATAAGTGTGCTTAGTAACACAGGTTGGTGTCAGTGAACTCCAAAGTACAGGTTGGTGTATTTCAACAACTTGATAAGTAAACCATGATACAATGTCATGTTACTCTGAAAGTCGATCGATATTTGACCAAGTTAACCAAATACACTTATACAAGTTGACAAGGGATTATCGTGCCCTATATAGATTTACCAGTAAACAAATGAAATCTTATCTTTCCCTGGTCAAGGTCAGTCTTTCCCTGGTCAAGCTCAGTATTTGCTGCATTGTTATCTTATTGACTTGACCAAGTCAGAGATTATACATGGAGTCATATCTAATAGGTATTCATTAAAAAATCTAGTTAATTAGAAATTAAAAAATCTAGTAAATTAGAGATAGCAAGTTAAAGGAGAGTTGAAAGGATACAATGTAATACAGCCTTACCGTGACATAAAAACAATCTCTAACACAGCCTTATTGGAACATTGATACTTTTATTTTGTAGTACATAAACTACTGATTCTTTATAGAGATGCACATACACATATCTCTACATTAACATGTATAGACCTAGGCTAGACTAACTCAGTACCTCTAAATTAACATGTTAGTCTAGCCTAGGTTTATACATGTTAATGTAGAGTTATTGAGTTAGTCTAGCCTAGGTCTATACATGTTATTGTAGAGGTATTTAGTTAGTCTAGCCTAGGTCTATACATGTCAATGTAGAGGTATTTAGTTAGTCTAGCCTAGGTCTATACATGTCAATGTAGAGGTATTTAGTTAGTCTAGCCTAGGTCTATACATGTCAATGTAGAGGTATTTAGTTAGTCTAGCCTAGGTCTATACATGTCAATGTAGAGGTATTGAGTTATTCTAGCCTAGGTCTATACATGTCAATGTAGAGGTATTGAGTTAGTCTAGCCTAGGTCTATACATGTCAATGTAGAGGTATTTAAGTCTAGCCTAGGTCTATACATGTCAATGTAGAGGTATTGAGTTAGTCTAGCCTAGGTCTATACATGTCAATGTAGAGGTATGTTAGAGGTAGTAGCCTAGGTCTATACATGTCAATGTAGAGGTATTGAGTTAGTCTAGCCTAGGTCTATACATGTCAATGTAGAGGTATTTAGTTAGTCTAGCCTAGGTCTATACATGTCAATGTAGAGGTATTGAGTTAGTCTAGCCTAGGTCTATACATGTCAATGTAGAGGTATTTAGTTAGTCTAGCCTAGGTCTATACATGTCAATGTAGAGGTATTGAGTTAGTCTAGCCTAGGTCTATACATGTCAATGTAGAGGTATTTAGTTAGTCTAGCCTAGGTCTATACATGTCAATGTAGAGGTATTGAGTTATTCTAGCCTAGGTCTATACATGTCAATGTAGAGGTATTGAGTTAGTCTAGCCTAGGTCTATACATGTCAATGTAGAGGTATTTAGTTAGTCTAGCCTAGGTCTATACATGTCAATGTAGAGGTATTGAGTTAGTCTAGCCTAGGTCTATACATGTCAATGTAGAGGTATTGAGTTATTCTAGCCTAGGTCTATACATGTCAATGTAGAGGTATTGAGTCTGGTACACATAAAAATGCAGCACACGTGAGGATACACACCCACTCTGGTACACATAAAAATGCAGCACACATAAGGATACACACCCACTCTGGTACACATAAAAATGCAGCACACGCGAGGAAACACACCCACTTTCGTACACATAAAAATGCAGCACACACGAGGAAACACACCCACTCTGGTACACATAAAAATGCAGCACACATGAGGATACACACCCACTCTGGTACACATAAAAATGCAGCACACGCGAGGAAACACACCCACTTTCGTACACATAAAAATGCAGCACACGCGAGGAAACACACCCACTCTGGTACACTTAAAAATGCAGCACACGCGAGGATACACACCCACTCTGGTACACATAAAAATGCAGCACACGCGAGGATACACACCCACTCTGGTACACATAAAAATGCAGCACACGCGAGGAAACACACCCACTTTCGTACACATAAAAATGCAGCACACACGAGGAAACACACCCACTCTGGTACACATAAAAATGCAGCACACATGAGGATACACACCCACTCTGGTACACATAAAAATGCACCACACGTGAGGATACACACCCACTCTCGTACACATGAAAATGCAGCACACACGAGGATACACACCCACTCTCATACACATAACTTACTGGGTGATACCTAAAGATGTACAAATATTTTGCTCACATTTACATCTTTAATAGCTACAAATCCCATCAACAATATTTAAAAATAAAACTCCATATAAATACATACTCATGAACATCCCACATTGATATAACATTGGTAGCACTGATGTGGGTTATGAAAAGGTGAAGGCCGCAGCAACATGAATGAAGCATAACTTTAAAAACCCATAAAACAGTAACCATAAAATAGAATGAAAGAAAACTTGCACTTTGTATATGTACATGTATATCAGTATACATATTTAAAATCAGAGTCAAACTCATGATTTCTATCTAAATTTCTACAGACCAAAGCTACACTAACTCATTAGCTCTATCTAAACTTGTATAGATCTAAGCTAGGCAAGCTAATGACTTTTGTATCCACTTTTATAGGCCTAAACTAGCCTAAATACATCAGGTTTATATACAATCAGTGTGAATGTAAACTATATTAAGAAGTAGAGCTTGAAGTCGCTCAAATTGTTTATGGACATAATTCATCAAAAATGACTTTTTTAGTATCAAATGGACTGTCAAGTATCACAAAAATAAATACATATGGAAATTATCTTAGATCTTTATTTTACAACCTCCAACTCGTGCTCTATATAACCAGCTTGCTAACTTTCTAACATTCTGTCAGCTGCATTGTTTACCTACCAACGTTTATAATGTAGGCCTGTCTGAAAAGTAAATATTACAAAATTAAAGTTAAAAAACCTTAACATTTAGTTACATGTATGATACAACAATGTATATTTAATAAAGCATATTCATTTGAATGATATGTATTTAATGTACAAACCTCAACTACATTATTTGTGGAGCAAAGACATAATAGTGACAAGATCGCATAACATGACCCTGTAGGGTCAGTGTGTCATTAGAACAAGACGTTCTAGGAACTGAACAGATTTCTAAGAACCGTCTTACATTTACATACCCTAGCAAGTTCCTGCAGCCAACTTACTAAATCATAGTCTATTCTCAGCTATTGATATTAAACAGTTATATGAATTTTGTTTGTATTTTCTAATTCTCATGTAATATCTGTCTCTAGTGATCCCTGTCTATACTGACACCTTTCTGCTGTCCTATCTGTCTCTAGTGATCCCTGTCTATTCTGACTCCTTTCTACTGTCCTATCTGTCTGTAGTGACCCCTGTCTATACTGACACCTTTCTGCTGTCCTATCTGTCTCTAGTGATCCCTGTCTATTTTGAGTCCTTTCTGCTGTTGTATCTGTCTGTAGTGATCCCTGTCTATACTGACACCTTTCTGCTGTCCTATCTGTCTCTAGTGATCCCTGTCTATTCTGACTCCTTTCTACTGTTGTATCTGTCTGTAGTGACCCCTGTCTATACTGACACCTTTCTGCTGTCCTATCTGTCTGTAGTGATCCCTGTCTATACTGACACCTTTCTGCTGTCCTATCTGTCTCTAGTGATCCCTGTCTATTCTGACTCCTTTCTACTGTTGTATCTGTCTGTAGTGACCCCTGTCTATACTGACACCTTTCTGCTGTCCTATCTGTCTGTAGTGATCCCTGTCTATACTGACACCTTTCTGCTGTCCTATCTGTCTGCAGTGATCTCTGTCTATACTTACACCTTTCTGCTGTTGTATCTGTCTGTAGTGACCCCTGTCTATTCTGACACCTTTCTGCTGTCCTATCTGTCTGTAGTGACCCCTGTCTATACTGACACCTTTTTGCTGTTGTAGCTTTCTGTAGTGATCTCTGTCTATACTGACACCTTTCTGCTGTCCTATCTGTCTGTAGTGATCCCTGTCTATACTGACACCTTTCTGCTGTTGTATCTGTTTGTAGTGATCCCTGTTTATACTGACACCTTTCTGCTGTCCTATCTGTCTGTAGTGACCCCTGTCTATACTGACACCTTTCTGCTGTTGTATCTGTTTGTAGTGATCCCTGTTTATACTGACACCTTTCTGCTGTCCTATCTGTCTGTAGTGATCCCTGTCTATACTGACACCTTTCTGCTGTTGTATCTGTTTGTAGTGATCCCTGTTTATACTGACACCTTTCTGCTGTCCTATCTGTCTGCAGTGATCCCTGTCTATACTGACACCTTTCTGCTGTCCTATCTGTCTGTAGTGACCCCTGTCTATACTGATACCTTTCTGCTGTTGTATCTGTCTGTAGTGACCTGTGTCTATTCTGACACCTTTCTGCTCTTGTATCTGTCTGTAGTGACCCCTGTCTATACTGACACCTTTCTGCTGTCCTATCTGTTTGTAGTGATCCCTGTCTATACTGACACCTTTCTGCTGTCCTATCTGTCTGTAGTGACCCCTGTCTATACTGACACCTTTCTGCTCTTGTATCTGTCTGTAGTGACCCCTGTCTATACTGACACCTTTCTGCTGTCCTATCTGTTTGTAGTGATCCCTGTCTATACTGACACCTTTCTGCTGTCCTATCTGTCTGTAGTGACCCCTGTCTATACTGACACCTTTCTGCTGTCCTATCTGTTTGTAGTGACCCCTGTCTATACTGACACCTTTCTGCTGTCCTATCTGTCTGTAGTGATCTCTGTCTATACTGACACCTTTCTGCTGTCCTATCTGTCTGTAGTGATCTCTGTCTATACTGACACCTTTCTGCTGTCCTATCTGTCTGTAGTGACCCCTGTCTATTCTGACACTTTTCTGCTGTGACATGCCTTTAATGGTCCCTGCTTTTATGTTCCCATTATGTAGTGATACATGCTAAGCGATCCTTCTGTTAGACTTTTTATTGTAAAGTATAAAGTCTATATTTACTATTTATCAACATATGGCTGTCAACTGATCTCTGTGTGAAATTACATGGATCTTAAGTGATCTCTGTTTGTAATAAACTTTAGTTAAATGATCTTTGTCTGACACCTGAGTTTGCGACCTATGGATTCATTGATTCATGCTTATAGTAATCTGGTTGGATGGTGTTCCATGTAGAAGGTGATTATGCCTTGATTCTGTCCTGGTCCCTATCTTTGGTGAAAGACGGTCAAAGCTGTTCATGTAAATGACATTGGCTGCCATTCAAGGTCACAGGTATTAAATGTGTTGAAATCTTTCAAATTGATGGACTTCTTTGTGAAGTAGTAATCCTGCGATAATACTATTTGACATCAGGGGGATTTACATGTTGGATCAATTAGTAATCCTACATAGATGGTAGTGTTAGAGTGATCAAACCAGTCAAGCTTCTCCTTGATATATTTATTCATTCATCAGCATCACTCTTATGGGTTGCCTAGAGCTGAATTCCCCTTGGTACAGCACAACAACATATATATATACATCCTACCTGTACTTGCTGCTCTACCCTGTAAGTATGTAGCATCCTCAACTAACAGCAGGATGTGTTTCTTACTGAACTTTAAACATTATTACATGGTACAGTGTTACAGCTTCAAGTAACCTATGAAATTAATACAACAGAATACATTCTCTAGTTTGTAATAAAGTCATTAAATCTATACTTAAGACACATATTTATATGTAACTTTAACTAATTTAAGTTTAGACTGTTTTACATTACAAATAACTGTGTATATCTTTCAGCTTACAGGTGAGTTTTTTAAATATAAAAACAGTGTCAAGATACAAAACATTTAGACTATAAAACAAAAACAACTACCCACTGGTATGTCAAGACAAGGCCAGCTAGGTCTCCATGGGGTGTCTCCCAGCTGACCAGGCCCTAGAGGAAGCTGACCCAGCATGGCACTTCCTAAATACTATATACACTGCAACTGTAGTATTTCATTATTTCATCAAATGTTATTGGATATGTTACTTTCTTTTACACAGGATGTGGAAGTGATGGGAGATAAAGATGATAGCCGCTCTCTACACATCAACATCCACAAGCCAGCTACCTCCCAGCACACACGTCCAATGTCCCTCTTGTCTGCACGTTTCCTCTTTGATGACCATATACGCTGTATGGCTGCGAAACAACGACTGTCCAAGGGGCGACTGAAGGCCCGCCAACTAAAGATGCACATGATAGAGAGGCTATTAGACATCCCCTCTGACAGCAGCTCCCGGTCACACACACCAGTGTCCAAGTCTAAAGCATATCCAGGTAAGGCTAGACACACTCCAGTGTCCAAGTCTAAAGCATATCCAGGTAAGGCTAAAGACACTCCAGTGTCCAAGTCTAAAGCATATCCAGGTAAGGCTAAAGACATCCCAGTGTCCAAGTCTAAAGCATATCCAGGTAAGGCTAAAGACACTCCAGTGTCCAAGTCTAAAGCATATCCAGGTAAGGCTAGACACACTCCAGTGTCCAAGTCTAAAGCATATCCAGGTAAGGCTAGAGACACCCCAGTGTCCAAGTCTAAAGCATATCCAGGTAAGGCTAGAGACACCCCAGTGTCCAAGTCTAAAGCATATCCAGGTAAGGTTAAGACACTCCAGTGTCCAAGTCTAAAGCATATCCAGGTAAGGCTAGACACACACACCAGTGTCCAAGTCTAAAGCATATCCAGGTAAGGCTAGACACACTCCAGTGTCCAAGTCTAAAGCATATCCAGGTAAGGCTAGAGACACTCCAGTGTCCAAGTCTAAAGCATATCCAGGTAAGGCTAAAGACACTCCAGTGTCCAAGTCTAAAGCATATCCAGGTAAGGCTAGAGACACTCCAGTGTCCAAGTCTAAAGCATATCCAGGTGAGGCTAGAGACACTCCAGTGTCCAAGTCTAAAGCATATCCAGGTAAGGCTAGAGACACCCCAGTGTCCAAGTCTAAAGCATATCCAGGTAAGGCTAAAGACACTCCAGTGTCCAAGTCTAAAGCATATCCAGGTAAGGCTAAAGACACTCCAGTGTCCAAGTCTAAAGCATATCCAGGTAAGGCTAAAGACACTCCAGTGTCCAAGTCTAAAGCATATCCAGGTAAGGCTAGACACACTCCTGGTCCAAGTCTAAAGCATATCCAATTAAAGGCAGATACTTTAATGTCACAGTCTAAAGCATATCCAGATGTCATATACTCTGATGTCCATGTTTATAGCATATAAGTTAATATTACACTTTGTAGTGTTCAAGGATATTCAGATTATGAGCATACACTTTGGTGTCCAAGTCTAAAGCATATCTCGGTAAGGTTACATTCTCCATTGTCCATGTCTTAAGCCTATCCAGGTAAGGTTACATTCTCCATTGTCCAATTCTAAAGCTTATCCAGGTAAGGTTACAATCTCCATTGTCCAAGTGAGAAGCATATCCAGGTAAGGTTACATTCATCATTATCAAAGTCTAAAGCCTATCCAGGTAAGGCTAAAGACACTCCAGTGTCCAAGTCTAAAGCATATCCAGGTAAGGCTAGACACACACACCAGTGTCCAAGTCTAAAGCATATCCAGGTAAGGCTAGACACACTCCAGTGTCCAAGTCTAAAGCATATCCAGGTAAGGCTAGAGACACCCCAGTGTCCAAGTCTAAAGCATATCCAGGTAAGGCTAAAGACACTCCAGTGTCCAAGTCTAAAGCATATCCAGGTAAGGCTAGACACACTCCAGTGTCCAAGTCTAAAGCATATCCAGGTAAGGCTAGACACACTCCAGTTTCCAAGTTTAAAGCATATCCAGGTAAGGCTAGAGACACTCCAGTGTCCAAGTCTAAAGCATATCCAGGTAAGGCTAGAGACACTCCAGTGTCCAAGTCTAAAGCATATCCAGGTAAGGCTAGAGACACTCCAGTGTCCAAGTCTAAAGCATATCCAGGTAAGGCTAGACACACTCCAGTGTCCAAGTCTAAAGCATATCCAGGTAAGGCTAGAGACACTCCAGTGTCCAAGTCTAAAGCATATCCAGGTAAGGCTAGAGACACTCCAGTGTCCAAGTCTAAAGCATATCCAGGTAAGGCTAGAGACACTCCAGTGTCCAAGTCTAAAGCATATCCAGGTAAGGCTAGACACACACCAGTGTCCAAGTCTAAAGCATATCCAGGTAGGGCTAGACACACTCCAGTGTCCAAGTCTAAAGCATATCCAGGTAAGGCTAGACACACTCCAGTGTCCAAGTCTAAAGCATATCCAGGTAAGGCTAGAGACACTCCAGTGTCCAAGTCTAAAGCATATCCAGGTAAGGCTAGAGACACTCCAGTGTCCAAGTCTAAAGCATATCCAGGTGAGGCTAGAGACACTCCAGTGTCCAAGTCTAAAGCATATCCAGGTGAGGCTAGAGACACCCCAGTGTCCAAGTCTAAAGCATATCCAGGTAAGGCTAAAGACACTCCAGTGTCCAAGTCTAAAGCATATCCAGGTAAGGCTAAAGACACTCCAGTGTCCAAGTCTAAAGCATATCCAGGTAAGGCTAAAGACACTCCAGTGTCCAAGTCTAAAGCATATCCAGGTAAGGCTAGACACACTCCTGGTCCAAGTCTAAAGCATATCCAATTAAAGGCAGATATTTTAATGTCACAGTCTAAAGCATATCCAGATAATGTCATATACTCTGATGTCCATGTTTATAGCATATAAGGTAATATTACACTTTGTAGTGTTCAAGGATATTCAGATTATGAGCATACACTTTGGTGTCCAAGTCTAAAGCATATCTCGGTAAGGTTACATTCTCCATTGTCCATGTCTTAAGCCTATCCAGGTAAGGTTACATTCTCCATTGTCCAATTCTAAAGCTTATCCAGGTAAGGTTACAATCTCCATTGTCCAAGTGAGAAGCATATCCAGGTAAGGTTACATTCATCATTATCAAAGTCTAAAGCCTATCCAGGTAAGGCTAAAGACACTCCAGTGTCCAAGTCTAAAATGTGTTCAGGTAAGGTCATACACTCCATTTTCCCATTTTAAAGCATATGCAGTTAAGGACAAAGTCCTGTGTATAAGGTTGAAGCATATCAAATTCATATCAATTTGTGCAAGTATGCATAGTATTTATACTTAATTTCACATGGCATTTATTTTTTACATGAATACGTAACGAGAGCAAATCACAAATTCCATTTTCTCATGATTATTTGTACCAATCTCTTGATGACATCCTTGTTGTTCTTGCTTTTACTTCCATGAATATATTTATGCCTTATGTCATCACGACCAAATGTGCTAGACATATATCACTGTTAAAGTCAAACAACTGGAGAACAATTCAAATGTACAGCTATAGGTCAGAGGTTGGAGGTCGAGCAAGTGTGCCACAATAGATGGAAATATCCAATGCTATATCCGTGTTGGAGAGGTGCTGAAATATTTACAATCACAGAGTTTATAACATGCAAAATATCTAGTTCAAAGTTTAATGTTCATGTGTCTTATAGCTTGTCATTCAGAATTCAAAGTCATTTCTAGATCAGCATTCATGAAATTACGTATTCATGAATATGTCTGCAGAGGTGAGTTCGCAACGTAAAGTCCCTGTAAAAAGTTATTAACAGTATGCAAATATTAGAAGGACATGAAATCTTACATTGTATAAAGGCAGTCTTGTTGATTTGGTAATGGTTTGATGTTTTTTTTTTTTCAGCCATCTATTGTTTCAATTATATTGAATTTCACCTTTCCGTTTTAGGTAGAGGTCATGCAGTGCGAGTAACCTCTGGTCATTCATCCAGTCCAACACCATCTGAAAGCTCGACTGGATCACAATCTTTAAGTAACCAGGCAGTTAATAAGTCTGGACATAGAGTACTGCCCAGTGTTCCCAGTGAGGCTGCTGACACAAAGATTAGCTCCAAGAAGCCTGCTCCCTCTGGTAAGGAGGACATTGAAGTTGCTGAGGAAGCCACAAGCTTTGCCTACCATTCCTTCAATCAGCAGACAGGTGGGGCCTCACCAAGTAGACATTCCCCCTCCCCGGTTGAATCACAAGACATACCTCTTGAGGACTTGTCAAGGAAGAAGAAGAGGCATTCAGCACGTAAAATGTCAGATTCCAAAATTATTACCCTTGCCTCTAATTCTCACAGCAGAAGTCACTCACACAGTCCAAAGAGACCAGAGGGAATCAAGCCAAGTCGAGGACGATCTACCTCCCTGGCCATTGAGGTTGAAAAACGTGACCGTAGCTCCACACCAGTCAGACGACCACACAGCAAAAGCAGTCCACCAGTTCATGTGTCATCAGGTCAGTCAAGATCTCGTGCTTCATCAACTTCATCTGATGAAGAAACATCCCGGCAAAAAGTGAAAGGTAAGGAAATAGCCCACCAGTCTCCCAAGACTCTGCGACCAGCTGAGGAACCAGCCCTGTCACTCCTTCCCCAGGGAGAAAATGCTGCATGCTTGCCTTTAAGTAGTGATGACTCGTTAAAGTTGATAGCTCCAGTAGAGATGGATCGTATCCGAAGTGTGAGTGATACCTCCAGCACCAGTAGTTCAACCAGTAAGATTGATTTAGTATCGCAGGATAAGAGCAAAGAAGACAAACAGGTAGGAAAACCACAATTTGCCTACAATATACCAAAGGGAGCTGAAGCAGAGGTGAGCAAGGCCAGCGTGGAACAGACCAGTATGGCTAGATCTGATAACCAGAATAAATCCACATCTGACCAGCTCACAAAATTGGCTCAGATAGTGCAAGAGCATTACAAGTTCTCAAATGATGATGGTGGTGGTGGACAACAAAAGACATCCCCATCTTCTTCTAGCTCACAAAGCACAGAAACAAGCGGAGTGTAATGCTGAAGAAAGAGTCACAGGCTTGAGTCTATAATTATGTGAAACAAAATTTTGCAATCCCTACATGAAAGGCAGAACTTTAAACTCTTGACTCAATGAAAAGGAGTGGAGGATGTGATTTGAATTTGGTCACTTGCCACGAGGATGTGAACTGGAGATGAGCTCTTGGGATCTGGTGTTCCTTTATATATGGACAGTTGTAATGTTGTGACAGGTATTATTAAGAATAGTTACATCCTAGGTGAAGATAACTTTGTTAGGTGATCTGACCCAACTGAGAGTAGTTTGCAATGATATATTACAGGGTATAAAACAGGTCTTTATTTTGTCTGTTGGGCTTTTTGTAGTTGATTTCATTTTGGGTAATGGTAGAGGTCAGTCAGATTTATTTTGTTTAACTGGAGGGGGTAAGTTAGGTTTACAATGTATAACCTGAGTGGGTCAGTCAGGTTTATAATGTGTAACTGGAGAGGTCAGTCAGGTTTATAATATATAACTAGAGGGGGTCAGTCAGGTTTATAATATATAACTAGAGGGGGTCAGTCAGGTTTATAATATATAACTAGAGGGGGTCAGTCAGGTTTATAATGAGTAACAGGAGGGTGTCAGTCAGGTTTGTAATGTACAACAGGAGGGTGTCAGTCAGGTTTATAATATGTAACTGGAGAGGTCAGTCAGGTTTATGATATATAACTAGAGGGGGTCAGTCAGGTTTGTAATGCACAAAAGGAGGGTGTCAGTCAGGTATGTAATGTACAACAGGAGGAGGGCAGTCAGGTTTGTAATGCACAACAGTATGGTGTCAGTCAGGTTTGTAATGTACAACAGGAGGGTGTCAGTCAGGTTTATAATATTTAACAGGAGGAGGGCAGTCAGGTTTGTAATGTATAACTGAAGGGAGGTCAGTTAGGTGTACAGTATATAATTTGAGGGGGTCAGTCAGGTTTATAATGTATAACTGGAGAGGTCATTCAGGGAGGGGAGGGGTCAGTCAGGTTTATTTGATGTAAAGTAGGGGAGGAGTCAGTCAGGTTTATTTGATGTAAAGTAGCATAAAAAGTAAGGTATTTTTAAGTAAAAAATGTATAATATTTCAATTGTACGTAGAATTTATTGACGTCACTACAGTGTATCTATATATATATATATATTCCCAGAATTCTTTACCTTATATAAGTGATTTATATTCAGTTCTAGTGTATTCCTACTGTAGGTTTCTTTACTACTATACCTACTGTAGGTTTCATTACTCGTATACCTACTGTAGGTTTCTTTACTACTATACCTACTGTAGGTTTCTTTACTCCTATACTTACTGTAGGTTTCATTACTTCTATACCTACTGAAGGTTTCTTTACTCCTATACCTACTGTAGGTTTCATTACTCCTATACCTACTGTAGGTTTCATTACTCCTACACCTACTGTAGGTTTCATTACTCCTATACCTACTGTAGGTTTCTTAACTCCTATACCTACTGTAGGTTTCATTACTCCTATACCTACTGTAGGTTTCATTACTCGTATACCTACTGAATGTTTCTTTACTCCTATACCTACTGAAGGTTTCTTTACTCCTATACCTACTGTAGGTTTCTTTACTACTATACCTACTGTAGGTTTCTTTACTCCTATACCTACTGTAGGTTTCTTAACTCCTATACCTACTGTAGGTTTCATTACTCCTATACCTACTGAAGGTTTCTTTACTCCTATATACCTACTGTAGGTTTCATTACTCCTATACCTACTGTAGGTTTCATTACTCCTATACCTACTGTAGGTTTCTTTACTCCTATACCTACTGTAGGTTTCATTACTCCTATACCTACTGAATGTTTCTTTACTACTATACCTACTGTAGGTTTCATTACTCCTATACTTACTGTAGGTTTCTTTACTCCTATACCTACTGTAGGTTTCTTTACTCCTATACCTACTGTAGGTTTCTTTACTCCTATACCTACTGAATGTTTCTTTACTCCTATACCTACTGTAGGTTTCATTACTCCTATACCTACTGTAGGTTTCTTTACTCCTATACCTACTGAATGTTTCTTTACTCCTATACCTACTGTAGGTTTCATTACTCCTATACCTACTGTAGGTTTCATTACTCCTATACCTACTGTAGGTTTCTTTACTCCTATACCTACTGAAGGTTTCTTTACTCCTATATACCTACTGTAGGTTTCATTACTCCTATACCTACTGTAGGTTTCATTACTCCTATACCTACTGAAGGTTTCATTACTCCTATACCTACTGTAGGTTTCTTTACTCCTATACCTACTGTAGGTTTCATTACTCCTATACCTACTGAATGTTTCTTTACTACTATACCTACTGTAGGTTTCATTACTCCTATACCTACTGTAGGTTTCTTTACTCCTATACCTACTGTAGGTTTCTTTACTCCTATACCTACTGTAGGTTTCTTTACTCCTATACCTACTGAATGTTTCTTTACTCCTATACCTACTGTAGGTTTCATTACTCCTATACCTACTGTAGGTTTCTTTTCTCCTATACCTACTGAATGTTTCTTTACTCCTATACCTACTGTAGGTTTCATTACTCCTATACCTACTGTAGGTTTCATTACTCCTATACCTACTGTAGGTTTCTTTACTCCTATACCTACTGAATGTTTCTTTACTCCTATACCTACTGTAGGTTTCATTACTCCTATACCCACTGTAGGTTTCTTTACTCCTATACCTACTGTAGGTTTCATTACTCCTATACCTACTGTAGGTTTCTTTACTCCTATACCTGCTTTAGGTTTCATCCATGTGATAAATATGACTGATATGTGTTGTGAGTTTATTCTCTAAGGTAACCCCCAAACAGCAGCTCACTTCTGATATTTGAGGAACAGTTAGTCAAATTCATTCATGTGTTAATGGATTTATTTAATGAACCATTGTTGACATTGAAATATTTACATTCCCCTAGTGTGATGATGAACTTGGTATATTCCTTGTGGTTCTCCTCACGTTGATGGATATACTCCACACATTGACTTGGCATACCCAATATGATACACCCTGGGTACTCCAACCTTGATGTGTGTACTCAACATGGTATCTTGTCATTATATCAAATCTGTGTGAAGAAAGGGCACAACTGGTTTTTTTGGCACTATGTGTTTAAACATAGTCTGTTTGTGAAAGATTCTTGCTAGGAATAAGTTCTAGTTTTCAGTGTGTAACAGCTTACAAGGATATTGTTAATCACAAATATTTCATAGGTCAGCAGGTGATATGCAGTATTCTTTTGATTTTTTTTTTTTTTTTCAATTTTGTTGCTGAAAGTCACAAATAGGAATCAGCTGTTATAATTTGATCATGCACAAATAGGTCGGAATGATATTGTCTAGAGAGATCACAGGTCATAGATGCTTTTAGTCAGATGTTTTATATGTCCATAAAATAAGTTTTGGAATTTGATTGGATATATTATTTTAATGTAAAATATTGATGACTAATATGTTTTGGTGTTTTGGACTTGACAGTTGAACTGTTTTTATTATTCATAAAAAAAGTAAAATGACCGTTTGATGTTTTATCCCTGTAAAACAGAGCCAGTCTGTTAATTCTGGTCAGGGAATAATCATGTTTGTTGCATGTGAAGCAGTATTGTGATAGTTGACCCATATGTGCAATATGTTAATAAAGATATTGAGTGTATGGATCTTCACATTATTTTTCAATAAAAATTTAAATAGTGACACCAAGGTAACACTGTGATGTCACTATCAATCTTTCCAATGAGGAGTGACACCAACATTTTGTTTTTTGTTGTTGGTTTTTTTTTGTTTTTTTTTTTCAATGTCCAAGAAGTCTTGATTTTTGATTAATAGTTTCATATTCAATGATCTGTAAAGGAGGGGCATAGTGTTTGAGATGAACATGAAAGTTACCTGAAAATCTTCCAGCTGAGTCCTCTCTGTAGAAGCTGCAAAACTGGTGAGTGATCTCCAATGACCTAGCAGCACTCTGTTACTGGGTCATGAACTACAGGATTAGTATAAGTGTTATGAAAGGAGTTCACCAACCCAGGAACCTGCTTAATTGTAAGTGTATAAATATTCAGACGTAAGTTGTCTGCCTGGAAGCAGAGATACATATGACAATCAACGTAAAAAACCATTAAGGGCTCCGGGACTCTGGTCATGTAGACAATTATGATTCTAACCTTAAACTGTTTATTCTTGGGCAGTTAGTTGTATGTCAAATAAGCATCGGGTTTGCTCCATTAATTTAAGGTATTTCAGAAGAGTAAGCTGTTACATGCGTCTTACTCTATGGCGTAGGCAAGGGGGGCAACTGCCCCCTCCCCCTTCCAATTGTCCCATAGGTGACTTTTGTGAAACGTGTAAATCCGTTGAATTTTTTATGGCGGGAGGGGGTGTTGCAGGAAATGGAGCCAAAATTTTCAAAATTTTCTTGGGAAGGGCCCCCAGACCCCTCGCCAAAGCTTCGCGACTTACGGCTTCGCCGGCGTCGCCAGATTTTTGCCCGCCCGCTTATAAAGGATTTCATATATATTTATATATTCATATATTTATAAGTGAGGATTGAAAACATGGCGTAAGTTAGTCCTCTATCTAACAAAACACGTTCCGTGTCCTTATAAACGCGTCAGGGAAACTGCATAAGGGTTCTTGGTTTTGTATGTAAATATGCCGAGGTACGATGTTGATCGTCTGTCTATGAAACATTGTCAGCTCCTATTTTCTTATACCGTGTGAAGAACTACATTTTAAAGTATAAATGTTGATGTTCATTAAGAAAATGAGTATCTACTTTCCGATATTTGCTTGTCCAAGAATTTGTTTTGTGGTTTGTTTTTTTTTTTAATTTTTGCTGCGGGTACGTCAAAGATGACAGAAAGTCTTGACGGTGAATTTAGAGTGTACATTCTTGTGTGCCCGTTAAACAAAGACATATTCATTTCAAGCATCATGACAGGAATCGAACCCCCGCAACAGTAGTCGAATCCATTAGCGCCGTAACAGGGATCGAGCCACGACAGAGCCAAAAAAAAGGTTAAATTGTTGGAGTGTAATATAATGTACATTATCAGCATTACTCTTGCTGTTAAAGACATATTAATCTCGTTATAACGGGTCTTTTTTGTTTGTCCATGAATGTCAATATATATACTCGAGTTTAGAAGGTCACTGACATGGTTCTTTGATATTAGTTTCCGTTCGGATGCAACCGATTAAAACTGAACGGTAATTCTGACAGTATTTGTTCCTGGTTGTGTGGCCAACTGACCAATAATTTGGCCTTTAAATATAAGCCATGCGTGACACTCGTGGAAGAGTTGGAACGATGTCAATATTGTAAGCTTTGTTACTGGTATGACTGATTCTATATATAATACTAGGTATTTCGATCTGTACACTGTTGACTGTATATAGGCGACAGTTTGGTACGAAGACATATATAAATGAAATCTATCCACACTTTTTATATTCTGTACCGTACTATCGTATTACATTCATCTTTGGCCCAGTAAAACGTGTGCATACAATCAAAAATACAACGGAAGACATCAGAGCTGTCGGCAGAGTAGGAGACATCTGCGATGCAATTCATATTGTATTACTAGAAAAAGTGCAACTAGGAGCAACCAGAATAGTCACGGGGCTGCCCACGTGCACAAAAACATCATTTTTGTATCGTGAAACCGGTTGGCTACCACTTACTAAAAGACGAGAAGCCCGGAAAATTTCTTTTTTTATAGTATAGTAAACAATTTTGCAACTAATTTTTTTCTGAGATTTATTGCCAGTGGACATTGGAAATCTAGCTCCAAACAATTTACGAAACGCACACTTACCGAGATAACAACACTTTTGTCTTCAATTGTCGCAAAATCCATTCCTTCTACAGCAAAACTTTGGAATTATTTAGTTAACAACATTAGATACTTTCCTTCTATAAATTCTTTTAAGGCTAATCTTCAAAAAAAATAATTTCCACTAATGGTAATCTAAGCAAACAATTAACAAACTGTTGAGCTAGAAAACTAAATAGCATTCATTTTCGTCTTAGAAATCGAGCGATCATTCTTAATTATGATTTTTTTATAGCAAATCTCTGAGAAAGTCTGCTGAGTGTCGGTGTGCAGCAAGTCTGCTGAGTGTCAGTGTGCAGCAAGTCTGCTGAGTGTCAATGTGGAGAATTAGCATGGTAAGACGGGGATGTAAATGTTGACATACTCTGTAAAGGTGATGCCAATATCTAACTAAATAAGGACAACATGAAGATTGTAAATAATATATATATATATATATATATATATATATATATATATATATATATATATGGAGAGGTCACTTGTAAGTTGGTAAAATTTACTGACCAAACCTTTTGATACTCTATTATGATTATAAAATATGTTTGGTTGAATATGTCTTCACAAAATTTAAGCAAAACTTAATTGGGACAACATGAACAGGACTTCAAAATCGCGCGGGTTGCACGCTCACCCGTCTGCCGACTGTTACGGTCGATTTTAGGCAGTGATTATTTTTATATTAAGTTAATTAGCCCTTCGAGCTATAGCAAAGACCAACAGTGAATTAATAACCTCATCTAGTTTTTTTTAAGGACGAAGACGACAGATGTTTATTTTCATGGTGGGTTTTTGTTGTTGTTTTCTTATCTTTCATCCTTTATAATCAACTGCTGTGGTTCAAACAATTAGTATTTTTTTCAGTTGATCAGTATCATTATTTGTAACCCTAACTTTAAATACAATGTAACATTTTCGATGTATCGATGGTAGTGGCAGTGTAAGTAAAGGGAATGTATAAGGTGTACGGAAATAACATTTAAAAATGGTCCTAACTTTTGTAAGTTTTATTGGCTGAATAGCTCATTAATAAATGTTAAAAGGAAATATTTCATATAATAATTGTTCATTGATTAATGGTACGTGAACAGTGTTATTTCTATCGCCTGATGTTTAGTGTTACCTATATTTTCCTGTCTTTATAATGTTCCGTTAAGCCTATTGACCCCGAACCTCCGAGAATAATTGTATAATGGCAACCCTTTCAGGATTTCCTTTGCGGGTATGAACAGTTGTGTATATATATACACATACAGTTGTAGTGATTCATATGTACCTAATCTTTACACTGTGTATGTGTCATGTGCTTTCTTGTTCAGTCAATCCTTAATATCCTATCCCATTTGTTTTTTTTAAAGATATCGGCTCCCGCATCACCCGAAATCAGAAATATCAGGTTATACCAAATAAGGAAGTTATTTCAACTTTCAGTATAAATACATCAAGTCTACCTGAATCAGACTAATCTACGTTATCGTATCGTTGTGTTATCGCGGTCAATCAAGCAAAGTGGGCAACACGTCATCACAGGGTGCTCACACCGTATTACTAAAGCTTGACGTTATTAATAAGTACAAATATACTATCCGAAATGATACGTAATGTGGTTTAGGTTTCCACGAATTGGTTTTGTGATACCGCTAGGAAGTTAATGTCCTGTTCTCTGATTGGTCAAATTTAAATAACCGTGATCAATACAGAATAAAACTGAATAAAATCTCTCGGTCTAAAAAAAAATGAAAGAAAGAATACAGATTGGCCATTTATCAGTGATTTTTTTTAAAGTGGAACCTTCATGTCTGCTCTCAGTAATCCGTATACTTCTTTTAGACAAATTTATTTTTAGAACAAAAGTGTGTCTAGAAATTTTGTTGAAACTCGACAAAATATTCAAGTACGATTTACAAGTGTAATATTTTGTCCAGCGGCATATACGTGTAACAGCAACAGATGTTAAATCAGCTTTCTCATAAAACTGTTCTGATGGGAACTACTCGGTAATTTTCACGAAAACTACTAGTACAGACCAATACACAAGGAAGATGTGATTGTCCTTTCAAATTTTATTAAACAATATCTGAACAAGATAAAGTACTAATGTATACTCAAATGCACTTCAGTGACTTAATAAAATACATGTCGTATACTCAAATGCACTTCAGTGACTTAATAAAATACATGTAACTCCAGTAAGTGTCGTGAGGGACGATTTGGCAATTTGATTAACTATTAGCACCATACTAAATTCAAATCTACCGTCAAAAGATGGCGACTCCATCCAAGATCATTCACTATACATCACTGAACACTTAGGCGAATCCATGGTAGTTTTGACAAAATCTGCCAATATTTTCATGTATTTGATATTACAACACACTAATGTCACAGTTTGCAAGAATCTCTTGTTACCGTGTTCAAAGTTACATATCTCTTCAAAATAAAAACTAACTGACTAGGAGCGAGATCAACACACTCACAAAGGTTATGAAATGGCAGTACACGGGGTGTTGGTGCCACATTAAGTAACACACGAAGGAACACCGATTGTCCAGGGAGTCCTGAGGTAGAAACACAATAAATAGTAAATTATTAAATTAAAATTTTGTCTCGGTAGCAATCCGCATCACTTCATGTCAATCAACGCCTCCAATTTTGTCAATTCATTTCAATATCCATATTTTTCACACGGTAAAATGCATAGGTTCTTTCTGTAACCATGCGGACGACTTCGAACCATATTCTGCCTCATAATTACGTCACTGCAACCATTTCCTATCAGAACCAGACGAACCACGGTCTATCCATCATGTAACCATGGGAACTTTTCATTATCCCATTCGTAGTCATGATAACCACTTCATGGTAGGTACATTATCTGCCTATGGTAATATGATCACTGTTCCGTGTCCTTCCACTAGGGCTGTCAGTTCAGATATGGATAACTCTTTAAATATTTACGTAAATCTTTTGGTAGCATGACCAGTTTGTCTATCTGGCCGTTATGCGAGGAGTAGTCCTGTTCGACACTGCTTGGTATATTTCGGTTGATTATTTGTCGACAGAGGTGTTGTAGTGAAGATACACTGTTTATGCGAGGTTTAGTTAGCAACACTGGCATATCTTTCTTTCCAGAACTTTCCAAAAACCTATTGACATTTTTACGCTTTGTGTCACCCTTACTCGTCCTTACGTAATAATCAACAAGGGCCACCGTGGAGTCAAATTTTGGCAACAACTTTTTTAATTTTTCTAGACAGTCTAACTGAAATTTTCCTTTGGTGTAAGTTATGCGAATACTGGTAGCCCCTTTGGGAGTTTGAATACTAAGAGAATAGAGAAATCTCGGGTCTACACTATCGCGCAGCAGAAATGTCCCCACATCGCTTCTTCGTAACATATCTTTGGCCATCTCACTAGTGGTGTTGGAATAGTACCAGCCACACCCACATATATTGTTCATGTTTTCAGTCTGGACACGGAAATCCTGTTCACAATAGTATACAACCCTCTCCGGACGAACATTGGCCGTTGTATCTTCACATTGTTTCGAAGAGTCCTTCGCTTTGTCTAACAACCATGGACGATGCGATGGAGGGGGGACTGAGTCACCGGCCATAACTACTTTTACACTGTGATCACTGTCGAGCTGAAAGCCCATCGGACTCATGAATAAGTCTTTTAAGTTGTTTACCTTTCCCTGACCACCTTCTTAAATCTTCTTTCTCTCGATAGCAGCTTACACACACGCCTATATACTCCTGACACGTCCTATTCCATGAAAGAATGTTAACGGATTTCGTGTACCACACTGCTTTATACTGGTGACCTACATTCTCGGAAATACCTTACACAAGTGATATCAGCAGATACCGAGAATACAGTAGGTGATTCCCCGACAATCTATTATTAGCTTCACACGACACGCTACTCTTCTTTACTTCAGCGGAAACAAGAAATTTAGTTTCTTAAGGTTTCACATCATGTAACACAAATAACGACCACTTTCGTTTCCCGTGTTTTAATATTGGAATTAGATTTTCTGCTTTTGAAAAATTCATTTTTGATTATCATGAATACTTAAACATGACAAACCAGTTTCGCTTTCCGTTTTAGAAATACGGTAACTAATTATTAGCATATTACAGTCTCTGCGTGCTTCTAGAAATGTTGATGTTAAACAGAAATTATTTTAGACTTAAGAACACATGTTATATATACATATATATATGTACATAGATATATAACAATTATAATTTTAATAACAATAATAACATTGCTAATGAGAGGCACATATTAATTTAATTTTAAAGGTTTCTATTTCTATAAATATAGTAATGATACCAATATCGTGATGTATTCACGAGTGTTTGCATTGAAACAGTTATCCAAAATAGAATTACCAGAAACGCATTCACCCTTTGGAACAGCCAGTCCGCTATTGATGGCGAGAAGTATCGAATGTTTTAAATAATTCTTAGAAAGTTTAACTGTCAGTTAAAATACCTGAAATATGAAGCGGATGTATCGATGATGTTTTGAGGTTTGGCGATAATTTTCCTGGAACAGCATTTGCGTAGAGCACACTATCATAGCAGATTATTGAAGTGAAGAAGACAATGTCAGACAGATTTACTCGTGTGTCGCGATCCTATATGGAAGTTTATTTCATTTTTGAGTAAGTAGTTTATTTACTTAGATTCTATATATAGAGATATATACATGCGATTTAATGCTAGATTCAATTTCAAAACTTTTGAGAAATACATCCTAATTTTACCTTTAAAACTTATTAGTAAGCCATGTACAAATCAAACGTTTTTAGCAGCTTGTATAGCAACAGTGGTAAAACTCGACACTCAACAAAAAATGAATTAATTAACGATATTCAATTTTTAGTGAATACATGTTATCAATTTATTTGCCCGAACGGAAATTTTAACTGAATAATTATCGGGTTTCAACCACATTATTAACTAAAACAAGAATATCATCTGTCGATAAACTCGGCATATCTGCCTGAGATTTAGAATATTCAGGTACATATTGAAAAAGATGCTCACTACATACTGTTGTTTTGGTATTAGAATCATATTTTTGAAATTCCAGGATGACTCGGACAACAACAAAACAAAGACCTATTTTTTTTTTATAGAAATTCGGAAGTGGAGAAGTCAAAATATTTTAAATGTGAAGCATAATAGTTGTTGTTTAGTATAGATAGAGAGTAAGATAAGATAGGATGGTAAAGGGAAGTGGATATATTCGGACCTAACCGTGTTGTTGTCCACGTGTTGTTCCAACAAGTTCGAGCTGGTATTTATTCAATATGGCGTCATATCTTCCTTTCTGGACCGTCGGGAGATTCTGTAAAATAAACTGACAAATATGATAAATTGTACTTTTTACCCCCACCCTTTCCATTTACCCATCCCCACCCCCACCCTCTACTTAAATTTTGTAAATTAATGAAATATTTTTTGGACTTTGAAATAAACATCAGACACCCAGTTCATTACACCACTGTTTCAGTGTCTGCGCCGTTCGTTAATCAGTCGCCTCCCCTTCATACCGGTGTAAGACTGCCTCTGTTTTCCAAGATACATACGTCGCAAAAATCTTGTTTCTCATTACATCATTGATCGGTCGTGTTGTCTGTATGCAACGGCAACTTTTTCGAAGGATCATAGGCGAGCAGCGTTCTTCTGGTTGATGAACAGGATTTCACTCAGACTCATAACGAGGCTAGGATTTATTGTTGATCACATGACTTTCTTATTTATTTTTTGTGCGTTTTGCAAATTAATTAGTAATCAAATTTGGTAACTGTAATTACCTTTTTTATTTCAGGAAATATAAACTTTGACGAGCAACTTACCGTTGAAAAGTCTAAAACACAACTGCTGGTTTTGTCACGTCATCGAGATCTCTGGAGGATGTACCAAAGGGAGGTTCATGACGTATGTATCTTGTTCGAAAAAAACTTTGCTTTCTTCAATTTCGTATCACTAAAGATTGAAAATTCAATAAAATTTATTTGAACAATATGCATTGTTTTGTTGCTTTTGATTTTGTGTTCTTGTCAATATACTATGAAATACGTCCGGTAAGCCTAGTTATCACCAATATAGAGCCTCATTTACGAAATCATACCCTCGAGAGAATCGTTAAAATAGGGGCATCTCATTGGTCAGGTATTTATAAATAACATCTCTTAAAATTATGAAGACTGATCATCAGAAAGAAAATTAGTAATCAATAGACAAAAGTTAAAATATTGAAAACAAATCACGAGACTAGCGAGGGCTAGTGTACGAATTGTTTTGGTCGAATTACGGATGTTTGTTTTTATTTACATTCTAAGGTACATTAACGATAGGGACAGTTTTTCACCAACAAAGAGGTATAACCTTCTCCACCCTCATTTGTCATTTTATTCTAATGTAATTACACTAGTGATGTAAACAGTCACATTGATCAACTAGCTGACGTTTTCCCCAAGATATGAAAAGACATTTTCGTGGAAATAAGTTAAAGGAAAGCTATCGGATAGAAACGGCATAAAAACAATGCACTGTTTGACTAGATAAAATCATTAAAGAACTCAGAACAAATTAATAGTAAACTGTTCTAGATTATGATTTATATGGTTTATTATTGATTATCATGAATACCCATACTTGAGGGAAACTGTCTACAGTGACACTGATTAGTTAACAAATTATTATATTGGGAAAGAAAGGTGTGTTCCCATTTCGCCTTAGTTACATATTTTGGTATAAAACAGGTGGACATGTGCTAAGGCGAAATGGGAATCGGGCTAAGGCAAAGTGGGAATTTAGGAAAAGTGTGGAAAGATAAACAAACCAATTACATGCAGCGGTTGTTGTTTTAACAATAACTCATTCTACAGTTAAATCTTAATTATAATTGACCAAAGGCCAAAGGCCATATAGATTTGATATATATAATATGTAAAATATATATGAAGAAATAAAAATAACTATTACATTTTTCACATTTAAAGAAATAAAAATAACTACATTTTGTATTGGAACTTGTACATTCTAACACTAAATCAATTAAATATATTTAAATGAATATTGAATTTATTTCTTATTTCTTTTATAATTCAAAGGAACAAATCATATATTAAAGACTTAGTTTTTCTATGAAATGTATGTTTAGAAGCAACTTATATTTTTAGTTACTTGACTTCATTAATTTGTATATACAAAGTTCCATTTCGCCTTAGCTGACTCCTTCCTACCTGGTTTTGGCACTAAGGCGAAATGGGAATAATATTTACCATGAAATTGACAGCTAAGGCGAAATGGGAGTAAGCCGAAAGAAACACAATGACACTGTGCATTTAATTAACTTAAACATATTCATTGCCAAAATATAGACAAGGGATTAGGCACAAGTTATTGCAACTTATCAACGCCTTATCTCAATATACGTTTTAAATGACATTACAATACTGGCAATGCAATTACGCATTTATTGTTACAATATGCTGGATTTAATCAAATTCTTCACAGATCTAAAAATGTATGAATTAAGGTGCAAGGAAAGTTGAGAATTGCCAAACAATGCAATGTTTCAATTATTTAAATTTTGAACTAGAATGATCTTTCGTTTGGGAAACATTGACATTCAATAAAATAGTGACATTCTCATAAGGATGACCACAATTACAAGATGCATTCTCAACGAGGATAACTCTAAGAAGGTCATAATTAAGGGAACTGCATTGGTATCGGAGCTTAGTATGCAATGTATTAAGTTTACGATTTCCAATTGTAGAGTGAATTGGTGGACTTGACTGAATATTTGATGTTAAACAGGATTTGAATGAATTAAAAGAGAGTTGGGATCGAACCGAATTTTCTAATTTATTCCAACAGTAAAGAGTATAAGGTAGAAAAGAAGAGTCAGAAAGAGACAGCCAATAGAAGGAATCTATAACGACTAGATTCGCCAGGTAAAGGAGGCAAAAGATGATTGAGGTATTCAGGAGTTTATTAATTGTGCATCTTATACATTAGTTGAAGTTTGCTCATCTTTCTGCGATAAGATAAGGTTGCAAGACCAGTTTCATAGTATAAAGTATCAATAGGGGTATATGAAGGCAGTCCTAATATAATGCGGACGGCTTCACCTTGAGCCTTTTCTGATTCAAAATTAGTGCAACCGTCACACGACTCACAAGCATATTCTAAAACAGTTAAAATAAAAATCTTTTCAATTTTCAAAATAACATCCCTACTTAATAAGTGTTTCAATTTCAGTAAGACATTGACATTTTCTTAAAACCGAAGTGCAAATTCCATTTACATGACCCCCACTTTGCCACTGTAGTGATGCCTTGTTTGGTGGACCCATTCTCGTTGTGTGGTATTTTACTGTCTCTGTAATGATGCCCTGTTTGGTGGACCCATTCTTGATGTGTGTTATTTTACTGTCTCTGTAATGATGCCCTGTTTGGTGGACCCATTCTTAATGTGTGTTATTTTACTGTCTCTGTAATGATGCCCTGTTTGGTGGACCCATTCTCGTTGTGTGGTATTTTACTGTCTCTGTAATGATGCCCTGTTTGGTGGACCCATTCTTGATGTGCGGTATTTTACTGTCTCTGTAATGATGCCCTGTTTGGTGGACCCATTCTTGATGTGTGTTATTTTACTGTCTCTGTAATGATGCCCTGTTTGGTGGACCCATTCTC